TTTAATAATAGTGATTCTATAATGTAAATTTCAGAAATTACCGTACATGAACCATTTACAGCAAAAAAAAATTGAAATTTAAAAAAAAGATTAGGATAAAGATGAACCGATTAGAGATAAGATAAAAGAATTTTGAAAATGAAGTAGGACATGGAAACTGAAAGCCAATAGAATTTAGTTTCCCAAAACAATAGGGAAATGGGAATAAGCTCCTCCCTCCTAACCCTTATATATAAATCTCTCTAATGTCTCCTCATTTTCATCACTGAAAACTCTGAATCGAAGTATTTTGTGTTAAAAATATAATTAATGGAGCATCTACGTGATCTTCTTGGAGATTCCACGATGGAAATATCAATCAAGGTTAAAGCTGGCTCCTCCTCCTCCTCTCAGTTGCAACTTCAAGCTCCTTCTGATCTTGAATCGTCAATATCGGTAGTGAAAGAGATCAGGGTGGAACTCCAAGTCGAAGCCGAATGTCATCACTTCCAAGTGGTCTCCACTACTCCAACTTTGGTTAGCCATCACCATTCCCCTACATTCTTCATAGCAGCTTACCAACTTCCTGTGCACATCTTCAACCGTGGCATTTGCGACAACACTCTGCAGCGTTTCCTATCATGGCAGTTCAAAGAATATGAAGATTGCATTAACATACCAGCCATGACACACCAAATAATAAACCACTGGCTCCATGTCAAACGAGAAGCAGCTGCAACAGCTACAACTCGTGATTGTAACGACAATTCCAATTCCATTGCATTTGGGAGAGTTTTTCCTCTTGAAGTTACCTTGCATTTGTGGAATTCAGTCATTGAAGATGATGATGATGATGATTATGTTATGGTTCCAGCAAGCGAAGTTGGTATTGAGAAGATGTTAAAGACCGTAAAGTTTGAGGAGATTGTACTGAAATCAGCAACTACTTGTGTGATTTGTTTGGAGGAAATCACCACGATGCCCAACCAAGATATCGATAGTGGAATGTTATTGGTGCAGATGCCTTGCTTGCATGTGTTTCATCAAAAATGCATCATCAAGTGGCTTAACAACAGTCATTATTGTCCCACTTGTAGATTTAAAATGCCTACAAATTGAACAAATGCTCAACATGTGGCTCAACATTCTACATAGTTACATGCATGTATATGAGCTACACAGAATTTTAAATTGTATTTAGGACTTGAACTGTTAATTTTCTCTCACTGTGTGGTTCTTGTGTGTAGTTGCTTTTCCATGCTTTTGATAAAGAAACCATATAGATTAGAGTCTTATTCTTTTCTTTTTTGTTAATTTCTTTACCCATCCAAATTTTTAAGTTGTTAGTCTCTTGTCGCAATTCAACAATTTAATGACCGAACTAATTACATGCTTGTTCCAAAAATTCGTAGAAACTTAAAAAGGTAGATGAAAATTTGAAATGGGTCTACTAGCTCTACATTAAAACAAAAAGTTCAATTCAACGCAAATTCATATTGTTCGCTTTAAAGAAAACCCTCACAACTCTATTTTTAGTTTCGTTCAAAATGCCTTGTACCAATACAGATAATTATTTTTGATAAATTTTAAGAGAAGAAAAAATAGAGGTAAAATAAACAATACAATTTTATTAATTCAAATCCTCAAATTGAATACAACCCTACTCATCTATTATAATAAGATAAAATCTAAATAAAAAATTTAGATAACTAAATCAAGAAATTGGAAATCTAAATCATATCCTAAATTATATGCAAATTGTAATTGGATAAACCAATACTAAAATAATTCAAATCATATCATGTTCTCGTCTATATATATACCATGTATCATCTTCTTTTCCTTAATCGATGTGGGGCTCGGTTTTGGACTCCTTACAACCCAACACTCTTTTTTCTTTACTTTTATTTGTTAAATTAAAATGGAGCTTATATAAGAAAATTATGATTTTTAATATAACCATAATATTACAAACACGAGTATGTAATAAACAACTTAACAAACTTCAGGTTAAGAAACTTACTCCCTTGATTAATTTACTCCTCATATTAAACAACATCAGGCTAAGAAACTCCAAACTTAATAACTTGTTGCCCCTTTTTCTCTCTCTATATATTATATACCCTAAATGAAAATTAAATTATTAGGAAAGTATAAATCAAAATCTGATAATAAATGTGATAAGATAATTATAAATAGGGATATTTTGGTAACAAAAAATTATCCTTTGCTAACCTTAGCTTGTTGCATGCTCAAGGACCATGGTCGAAGGTTTCTTTAACTATCATTCACAATTTCAACATGTGGGGTGAAGAATCGAACTCACAACCTATTGATTGGAGATATATATCAATTAGCACTGAACTATGCTTAGTTCGACTCGTGCAAATATTTAAATGTTACAAAATAAAATCACCTTTTACTAAATATATGATTTCAATTCCCATAGCAATAAATAAGGAAAGTTTTAAATTTTCTCCTTTTATATATTGTTTTAATTAACCTTCCACCATATCCCAAATCACCCATATCCCTCCAAATAATACCCTAAACTTCAATCTGAAAATCTTCTCATGGATGATCTATTTCCTCGACATTCCTTGGCCTACATGGTTCTTGAATTTGATATTCAACCACCCCAACTCTAACAACATGACGATTCTCTAACCCCGCCACCATCGGGCATGGAAGAAATCAGCCTCAACTTAACCTTTCAAATCCAACAAAGTTGCTTCGTACAACAAGACGGCTACACAATGCTCCTACAGCAACAACAAAGCGGCGTGACTCGATGCTAATATCTTCAACCACGACGACGAGACTTCGATCTAGCAACTCTCTAGTGATTGGGCAAGATTACATGGAGGCTCCAATTGAGATCAACTCAAAAGACGTGGGCGATGAGATAATAAGGCAATGGGTGCAAATAAGGGAAAAGAATGAGAATTGTTGCTGGTTTGGGAAGGCTTTTTCCTTGTTTGCATGTTTTTTCATGGAGAATGCATACAAAAGTGGTTGAAGATCATGAGCCATTATTGCCCTGTAGATTTCAAATGCCAACAAACTGAATTCTCTATTGTTTGTTTTTTTAGAGTTCTTTTTTTTTCAATCTATATATTATAGGAATGAGATCTACTTTTAAAAACTTTCTTTCTTTAGTCTCAAATAATTTTTCCAATTTTTACTCAGTTTTGGAACTGTGTTCTTCCCTAAAATAATTTTAGTGTATTGTAGTTTTGAATAAATCGGTTGGAAGGTGAATGTTTAATCAATTTTAGTTTAATCCGATGAGAGAGGAGATCAAATAATTGTGAGTTTGAAAATTTAGCTAACATAAACGTAGCTGAGTGACCAAGGTAATTTCTACCTCAAATATTTAAACTTTGTAATAATCATATTTTTTTCGAATTTTTGACTTAGCTGTTAAAATAATTTTAGTCTATTCTACTTCAATTTAGTCCCTGAACTTTAGTATGTAATAATTTAGTTCCTAAAGTTTAAAATTTGTAACAATTTAGTCCTCGTCATGAAATTTTTTGTTAAAATCAAGTATCGATTTTTATCTTATAATAATTTAGTTTTTGTAATTTATAAACACATTTGGTCCTTCATTAATTTATCGATCTAAATGTATAAGAAATTTAACAAAAATTTTCATGATAGGGACTAATAATTAAATCATTACAAATTTAAAACTAGTATGACTAAATTGTTACAAATTTGAAAATACAGAGACTAAATCGTTACAGGCTAAAAGTTCAAGGCTAAATCGTTACTTCACTCAAAGTACAAGACCAAAAATATTTTTTAAGCTAATAAATAATTAATACTTTGGAAATATATATTAGAAACTATAAACAGTAGTCATTTTGAGTCTAGAATAACATTATATTTAAACATATTTTTGAAAAATTATTTTAAAGAATATAAAGATTTGTAATAGATATGGATAATTTGAATTAATTATTAGCTCAGTTGAACATTTTCTTTATATATTTTCAATCAATCGTTTTCTTTATATATTAATAAACAATAATTTGAATTAATTATTAGTTCAATCGTAATCAATCTTTTCCTTATTTTTCTGACTTTTGGATTACTTTTTTTGTTTAAATTGATTAGTTTTAAAAACACATTTAATCCCTATACTATTACTAAAATAACAATTTAGTTTTTCAACTTTAGTTTGTAACGATTTAGTAGTCCTTATACTTTTAAGTTGATAACAATTTAGTCTCAACCCCAATAAATTTGACTTAGGATAATATAATAATAATTTTTATTTTTAAAATAATATTTTATCAACTAATGAAAAAAAGATTAATATAATTTTTTTATTACAGGAAGCATGATTATTGATACAAAAAATATTACTAAATTTTATACTTGGGATATTTAATAATAATAATTGTAAAATATCAATTTCAGAAATTGCCGTACATGACGCATGGAGATAAGATAAATTAGAAATTTGAAAATGAAATTTTAAATTTGAAGTTTTTTAAATTTGAAAATATTGAGCATCCAATCAATAATTTTACAGGTTTTTATCTTGACCCAATTAAAAGAAAAATGTTTTTGAAATTTGAAAAGATTAAGTAGATATTAAAAATGAATAGAGATTAAGATAAGATGAAGGGATTTGAAAATGAAGTAGGAAACCGAAACCGAAATCCAATAGAATTGAGTTTCCCACAACATTAAGGAAATGGGAATAAGCTATTGCTTCTTTCATCATTCAAAACTTTGATCTCATCATCGCTTTAAATCAAAGTATTTAGTTGGTTGTTGAACCTTGTGTGAACAAAATATAATTAATGGAGCATCTTCGCGATCTTCTTGGAGATTCCACCGTGGACATGTCAATCAAAGTCAAAAGTGGCACTGATCCTAATCTTGAATCAATATCAATATCAATGGTGGAAAAAATCACGCTGAAACTCCAAGTCTAGGCCGAAAACGATCATTTCCAAGTTTCAGGCGAACATGTTCCAACATTGGTGAGCCATCGTCAAACCCCTATGTTTTGCTTCGTCGATTACCAACTTCCAGAGTGCATCATCAACCGTGGCATTGGCGACAAGACTCTGCAGCGCTTCCTATCATGGCAGTTCAAAGAATATGAAGACTCCATTAACATACAAGTTATGACACACCAAATAATAAACCACTGGCTCCATGTCAAACGAGAAGGAGTTGCAGCAACAACTCAGGATCATAATGATAATTCCAATTCCAATGCGTTTGGGAGAGTTTTTCCCCTTGAAGTTACCCTGCATTTGTGGAATTCAGTCATTCATTATGATTATGATTATGCTATGGTTCCAGCAAGCGAAGTTGGTATTGAGAAGATGTTAAAGACCGTAAAGTTTGAGGAGATTGTACTGGAATCAGCAACTACTTGTGTCATTTGCTTGGAGGAGATCACCACGATGCCCAACCAAGATATCGACAGTGGAATGTTATTACTGCAAATACCTTGCTTGCATGTGTTTCATGGAAGATGCATTAAGAAGTGGCTTAACAACAGTCATTATTGTCCCACTTGTAGATTTCAAATGCCTACCAATTCAACAAATTCTCATCAATAGATTTATAAAAAATATATAATGTGCTGTTTTTTAAATACGACATGTATTATGTTATGGATTTGTTTCCTACTATACACATCTTGATCTCATTCTTGTCAATTTCAAAATTAGTTGTTGTAAATATTAAATACTGTTATTGTGACCAAATTATAACCTTAGTTTTTAAAAGAGTAACAGAGAATCAATCAGACACTTTCTACTTTTTAAAATCCACTAATAATATATATAAGCACCTGATAAAATCTTATATAGTTTTTATAAACATTTTCAAAATGTATGCCAAAATTTGAAAATCAACAAAGTAGTTTTCAAAATTTTGTTTTTATTTTTGAAATTGGACTACAAATTCAAGTCTTTTAAGAGGTGAAAACTAAATTGTACGGAAAAAAACAAGAACATTAAGGAAATGGGAATAAGCTCATGCCTCCTATATATAAATGTCTTAATGTCTCATAATTTTCATCATTCAAAATTCTGATCTCATCTTCACTCTGAATCAAAGTATTTAGTTGGTTGTTGAATCTTGTGTGAATAAAATATAATTCATGGAGCATCTCCGCGATCTTCTTGGAGATTCTACAGTGTGCATGTCAATCAAAGTCAAAAGTGGCATCGATCCTGATCTTGAATTAATATCAATATCAATGGTGGAAAAAATCAAGTTGAAACTCATGTACAGGCCCAATACGATCATTTCCAAGTCTTAGGGGAACATGCTCCAACATTGGTGAGCCATCGMCAAACCCCTACGTTTTGCTTCACTGATTACCAACGTCCAGAGTGCATCTTCAACCGTGGCACTGGCAACAAAACTCTACAGCGCTTCCTATCATGGCAGTTCAAAGAATATGAAGACTTCGTTAACATACAAGCCATGACACACCAAAATTGGAAGAGTAGGGGGAGAGAAAGAGAGAAATACGGAAGTGAGAGAAAGATATTAAGAGAAATTAAAGAGAAATATTTTATATTTTAAAAATATATATATTTTCTATTTTCTACTTTCATCTCTAAATTCATCATTTCAATTTCAATTTAATATTATTTTAATTTTTGTTATTTTTATATATTTTTTAATTTTTAATAACAAATAACAAATGTTGCACGACAATATCAAATAAAATTAAAATGATCCAGACGAAATACACTATCTACAAGTAGCATAGGACGAGATTGAAGATGTCCTTTCCCATTCTCGTACTCGTAAAAAATTTTAATCTTTCGTCTTCACTTCGTTCTTCGATCCGAGAATCAAGATCCATGTTAAAGAACACTTATTTGGCGATGGGATATTCGAGAGAAAACTTACCGGTTTTATAATTAATTTTAATTATTTTTAGAATTTAAAAATAAAAAAGTTTAATAAATATATATTAGTTATTTTAGAATTATAATTTACTAGTATAAATAATTAGTTTTAAAAAATATTTAATATATTATTCATAATTTAGTAAATATGTCAATAAAATATATATTAATTATTTAAAAAATACAATCGGTGACCGAGACTGGGTCAGAGACCTGTATTTCCTATTTTTGAAGCAGAGACTCAATCCTGCGGGAAATTTTATCATCCCTAGAGTAGAGATATGAAACTACAAGTTTAGAGAGATGAAAATAAACTTTTGAAAGAGAAAATTTAGAGAGACAGGGAAAAAAATTTAGAAAAAAATAGTGAAAAAAGTTAAAGATAAAAAAAGAAAACTTTTTTTTTTTTGAGAAAAAAGAGTAAAGGTGAGAGGAAAAGATACCTTAAAAACAAATAAAGAATTAGAAAGAAAAAGAAAAATTATAGTGAGCAAAAATTTAGAGATAAAAGCATAATTCGAGGTATAATTGTTAGAGAAAATAAATAAATCTAAAGAGAAATTAAAGTTATATTGCAAGAAAATTGAACGAGAAAAGAAGATATAATTTTTAGAGGAAAAATAAATTAGAAAGAGAAATAAAAATTATAAAAGACAAATCCCTGAGAGAAAAAAATTCAGAAGAATATTAAAATTTTTAGAGGGAGAAATAAGAGTGATCCGTTAGAAAAAAAAAGAAAAAAATAGATAGAGATGAAAATTTTTGGAGAGTAAAAAATAATGATAAATATTAAAATATTAAAATTTTAGATTGAGAAAAATAAATTTTTTAGAGATATGTATAAGAAAAAATTTTAGAATGAGAAAAAAATTTGTTAAAGATAAATATGTCAAATAAAATAATTAAGTATTAGAAGAAAAAATAAGGTTTTAAAATTTTTTTCCTTTTTACATGGAATTTTTAAATGGTTTTTTTTAAATAAAAAATTGAATGGGTTGTCAAAAACTAAGAAACAAAAACAAAATTAATTGGTTCTTAAACGTGCCATAATTTTTTTTATTGGAAGGCGCATTATTGATATAAAATATATTACTAAATTAAATTCTTCTGATATTTAATAATAAAAATTCTATAATGTAAATTTCAGAAATTCTCGTAGACGATCCATTTACAACCAAAAAAATTTGAAATTTAAAAAAGATTAGGATAAAGACGAACCGATTAGAGATAAGATAAAAGAAATTTGAAAATGAAGTAGGAAATGGAAACCGAAATCCAATAGAATTTTGTTTCCCAGGAGATGGGAATAAGCTCCTCCCTCCTAACTCTTATATATAAATTTCTTAATGTCTCCTCATTTTGATCATTTGAAAACTCTCAAGTGAAGTATTTTGTTGTTATTGAATTTTATGTGAAAAATATAATTAATGGAGCATCTATGTGATCTTCTTGGAGATTCCACAATCAAAGTTAAAGCTGACTCCTCTTCTCAATTGCAATTGCAAGCTCCTCTTGATCCTAAATCAATATCACTGGTGGAAGAAATCAGGTTGGAACTCCAAGTCCAAACCGAATGCCATCACTTCCAAGTGGTCTCCATTGCTCCAACTTTGGTTAGCCATCACCATTCCCCTACATTCTCCATAACATCTTACCAACTTCCTGTGCACATCTTCAATCCTGGCATTCACGACAACACTCTGCAGCGTTTCCTATCATGGTAGTTCAAAGAATATGAACATTGCATTAACATACAAGTCATGACACACCAAATAATAAACCACTGGTTCCATGTCAAACGAGAAGCAATTGCAACTCGTGATCATAACAAGACTCAAATTCCATTGCGTTTGGGAGAGTTTTTTCTCTTGAAGTTACCCTACACTTGTGGAATTCGGTCATTGAAGATGATGATGATTATGCTATGGTTCCAGCAAGCGAAGTTGCTATTGAGAAGATGTTAAAGACCGTAAAGTTTGAGGAGATTGTATTAGAATCAGCAACTACTTGTGTGATTTGCTTGGAGGAGATCACCACGATGCCCAACCAAGATATCGATAGTGGAATGTTATTGGTGCAGATGCCTTGTTTACGTGTGTTTCATCAAAAAAGCATCCTCAAGTGGCTCAACAACAGTCATTATTGTCCCACCGGTAGATTTCAAATGCCTACAAATTTAACAAATTCCCAACATTTGGCTCACTATTCTGCATAGTTACATTCATGTATACGAGCTACACAGAATTTTAAATTGTATTAAGGACTTGAATTGTTAATTTTCTCTCCATGTGTGGTTCTTGTGTGTAGTTGATTTTCCATGCTTTTGATCAAGAAACCATATACATTAGATTCTTCTTCTTTTCTTATTTGTTAATTTTTTTACCCATCCAAATTTTTAAGGACGAAAACATAATACCACTAATTGAAAAAAAAAAACCAATAATAAACACATAAGAAAATTAAGATGTATCTATACAAATTAACTTTCTCAAAATATATTTATTTATTTTAAAGCAAACACTTAACTCCGGATCGAATTCTAACATCTCAAACATATAATATAAAATATAGATTGACTAAATCTCATGCTCCTCGATATCATATCTTGAGTTAGTTTTTTAGAATACAAACACTTAAAAAGTAAATTCCATGAGAGAGAATTAAATATGAAGAAAATAAAATAGAGTTCAGATTGTTGGTGGAACAATGATGACTGCTCACTCTTTCTATAACAGTGGAGAATGAAAGAGTTACAGAACTTTTAAAATTCAAGTTCATTTATAATTCTATAATTGATTATGATCAAAAATAAAATCTTAAGTTTTTCTAAATATAAAAAGTTAAATTTTTCCTATTCATACTTTTCTATACGTTTATGAATTTAGGATTATATATTTTATAAATAAAGTTTGTGAAATAGATTTTGAAATTACTAAAATTGATGCTTGTAATTTATATTTATGTCATCTTTTTCTAGTTTGGATTCAATTATATATAGGTTTGATGGTAAAATATACATTCACATTTAATAGCATTTTTATTAATTTATCAACAAATAAAAATCATTTTTATTAAATAAATAAAATTTAATGATAATTTTGTAATCAAAAGCAATGTTTACCAAATCATAATAGCCATATTTTTCCTTCATATTTCACTTCATTTCTATGTGTGATCACTCTATCGAATATCTATGTCTCCCCTCAATCTCTAGTCTTCTTCCATCGTTGTCATTACTTCCACCATCTCATTGCTGGTCGCCGCCATATCGGTGCTTGCCACAACTACCAATTGATGCTCACTACAACCCACTGGTGCTCGCTATTACCGTCTACTAATGCTCATCGTAGTTGCCACCGCACTGATATTTATCCTCATCTTTTGTATCAATCCTACATCACTCTTGTTTTTCAATAGAAAAAGAATTTAAAACAAATTTGGTAAAAAACATAGAATCAATGAAATGAAGAGAATTTTTTACAAGGGGAGGGTACGTAATTTCTAGTAGATAAAGATGCGTAAAGTCGAAAAAATTGACAAAGAGAGAGACTCACCTTGACCGCACTTCGAACTATGTTATCCATTTTTTCCTTATTATTCATCAATTGCATTATTCTTGTTCGGGATCGGCCTCTCTGTTGCCGGCAATTTTGTTTGCAACTTCTCTCACTTTCTAGGACAAAATTAGATTT